GTAACTTGAATTTCAAAAAAGTGATTGATGTCTATTTTTGCATTTTTGTACGTTTAGGAGTTAGTGTGATCGAATTACCCCTCTTCCGTTGTTATTTTTTGAATTTTTCTTCGTTGAGATTTAGGCTGTTCGGTATTAGAAAGTTATGATAAATGCATGAATTAATTGTTGCTAGTCGCTTAGGATAGTTTGTCTTGGTATTTGTTGAGCGTCGATAATATTTCGTGTAATTTCGAAGATAGTTTCATGCGCGTTTTTGTGAATTAAAGATGATGTCTGGACTTGGTTCCATGTACATATTTCGCCTTAATTTTCCGTGTGACAGTTATCCGCATTTGATTGAATCTTTCGCGAATATTAACACTCAAATTTCTTGGTTTTGTTGTCAATTTCCGATTAACTTGTGTTATGATAACAATGCTGCCCCATTTCTAATTCCACTTGTATACACTATTACACTTGTCATTGATGTGAATTGCTGGACATATTTAGGTTCTTGATTTTGGCTTAATTGTTGAGATATGTGTGTTGAAGAATTAGTGCACAATGGGTGTTTGTAAGAATGTTAAGGTCATGACTTAATTAATTTTGTGCACAGTTCATGAATTGATTTAGTTTAGGCTTGATGTTTGAAAAATGATAAAGACTTAGAGATAACCCTTTTCTAGGAGTTACATAATTTTTAAGTGTGGAATTGATTGAACTTTGGTTGGAGATGTTGAGTAGTGTTTGATTCTTGAGCATAAGAGTTGAATTGAAATTGCAACATGAGATTTGTTTTGTGCCTTAAGCATGAGAATTAATTGGAAGTTGTAGCATGAAGTGAAAAACTCGTCGTGAAAAACTCTTGTGAATTGCATAATTGATTATGATGAGAAAGCAATGCAAGTTGTGAGTTGACATAATTTTGAACCAATGTTTGAATGCTTTGGCATTTCTTAATACATAAAACCTGACACTGGAATAAAATTGTGATAACACATAATTGTTGTTTTACTTGATTTTTGAGGTTTCTATTGCATTTTCATCATAATTAATTAATGCATAAATTTTAGGTGGTGATGCTTGAGCCTTGGTACACATTGTTATGCCTATTGTTCATGAATAACTCAAATTTCGGTTAAATTGCACGAAAACGCGAGTTGCTGCCCCGTGCATGAGAGCAACACTTGTGATTGTTTTTAGCTCGAGCCATATAGTTTTTTGAGTCTGTTGGCACGTTTGGGAGCAACTATGCGATTTTCAGAGATTCTGAGCACTTTTTTTTACCGTATTTCGAACTGACCGTGCGCGGAAGTCACGCTTCCACTGTGTTTTTGACAAAACCGATTGCAGATTTAGATTCCTGGACAAGTTTATAGATTACCATGTAAATATCGTTTCATTCCGAGCATATTTTTTTGATGTCTATTTTGTAGAAAATGCGACTTATACCATTAATGCAGAATTTTTTTTGTATAACAATAGTGCAGTTTTTCTCGCTTACTAGTGTAGAATTTCAATACTATGATTGTCATTTGGCACGTGCTTACTTGTTGCATTTCAGTTGTTGATTATCAGATTGATTTTCATACGGTTCCTCTATTGTTTTCCTTGTTATTTTTGACGTGTTTGTTCATTGTGTAGAATACATTGTGACGCTTTCGATCATGTAACATATCAATTGTTACGTGGTCGAAACATGTGGCTTATGCTCGCTTCCGATGCGACCGCCTTATTTCTCACCTTCATGAGAAATTCATATTAGTTCATATTGTATTATATATTGTCTGGATATGTTTTGTGATACTTTGTGTAGGAACTTCCGTTTACACAGTGCATTCAGGATACATGATTGTATTCATCTTAGTTAGATATCATTTCTGACCTTTTTTTGTTTTTGGTTTCCTGGTAAAAGCTTGCTCGACGCGTACTCCCTGCTTTTTCAGCGCTTTCGTCTGCTCTTGATGACTTGCTCGCTTTGGTAGCCTCTGCTACTACCCTTGTATTTTTCCGCACTTTACCGCTTTCTAGATATCATGAGAAGTAGGAAATAAAGAGCGTGCGCTCGAAGTCGCTGTTTAAAGACCTGTAGCAGGCATTCCGCACTTCATTTGCTATATGTGTTGTGCTTGTGTTTGTTTACTTTCTTTTCGATCGATGAGTCACTCAATTTAGAAATTGAGATCACGACTTCGCTCTCAGTGCATGCTCCCTATAGGACTTTATCGTTTTCCTTTATTTCTTGCCGATCGATGAGTCACTCAATTTAGAAATTGAGATCACGACTTTGCTCTCATTGCATGCTCCCTATAGGATAGTTTTTAGACTTTTCTTAGACATGCTAACCTAGGCAGGATCTCTTTAGGTGTTCTTTGTTGGCTTGCTTGCTTCATCCTTGTACATACCATGTTCCCTTAGGATGCGCTTGCTCCGTTCGGACGCAAGTTAGACCTTAGGATGTAAACCATGCATGCTGACATTAGGTAGAAATTTCCCCTTTCATCCTTGACTTAGGGCTACCATTGCATGATAACATTAGGTTAGAAATAGGATAGTCTCCCTTAGACTCTTTTCTTCCCCTCTTTGCATCCTTGCATTCAAAACAAAAGACTTCCTTTCTTAATAAATCAAAAACATGCTAATCATACTTAAACCCTTTTTCAAGGTAACAAAAATACAAAACAAATTCAAACCATTTTGTGTGCTCGAGCACCTTTTCTCTAAAACCCTTTTCAGGTAAGGAAATGATTAGTTTACTTCTGTGCCAACGCATAAGTCTCCAAAGGTCGAGCTGCGGCAGAAGGCGGAATTAACATTATCCATAAAAAACACAAACAAACAAAAACATGTAATCTGAATTACGGTAGCTCTGATTCCTCAAAAAGGATACGTAGGCATTGGGGTAGGGCCCAGGCGAGCACAATTTTATTTTCCCTACATTATTTTCTCCTTTATTTTGCATGCATTCCTTTCAGTAGTATAGTAGACAGTAAGCATAGATTAAACACACCCATAAGATAGATAACAAGAGTGGATACCATAGAGTACTACGGGCGTGTGGGGTGCTAATACCTTCCCCTCGCGTAACAGACACCCTTACCTGATCTCTCGGTCGCAAGACCGTGACTTCTCCCTTTTCAGGTTTTCTCGATGTTTACCTTTCCCTACATGTGGGATAAAAGACGTTCGATGGCGACTTCATTGTTTTGATGATTTTCAGCCGGTTGTTTCAGCTGGCGACTTCACTGGGGATAGGTCGACCAAATGCTGGTCCATCCCGGAGTCGCTCCTAGCTCTTGCTTTCTTCTCTTTGGGTGTTTATTTCTATGCTTTCAGTTTATTCATTCATTTTGTATATACTTGAGCATATGTATGCATTGCATTTTACTGCCTTCCATATACTATTGTTGTACTGGATCTGATTCTTATTGGGTGGGTGCTACTATTGAGGTAAAAGGCCCAATACCCATGCCAGAGTTGTATACCATAGGAACCCTAGGAATAGAGTGGAACATGAACGGCTAGTTGACTTAGGTCTCACTATCTCCGCCATGTCATTCACGCTCAGATGAGGTACAAATGAGGGGCTATCATTTTCACTTAGGTGATACGGCGATAGTTTTTCAGGAGTACCCTCGATTCTGAGTTACCATTGCCTTACCCTGACCTAGTTTTCACCCGTGAGCGGGGAGGGAATTCTTATTACAGTTACAGGTGGTGACTATGTTTAAATGGTTACTCATGCTCAGATGGTGACTACGCTCAAACAATGACTATTGGTTCTAATGGCTATGTTCTGGATTTCTGTTATGACTTTATGCAGATGCTATATCTTGTTGGTGACCGTATGGTTCTCAGATTTATTTTCTGAGTTTCTGACTTGTTTACCTGGAGGTTCATTCAAGCCTTCAATCTTGGTATTCCCAGCATTGTTCAGAAATGCTCAACAGTATCCGATGTTCCAGAAGCCTTGACCCCGTACAATGGGAGATCCACATGGTACTCGGTTCTTATATGCAGAAGCTATGTCGGACCTTTAATCTGATGATACTCACATGATTCAGAGCAGTGCAGCGATCTTATTCAGGAATGATGGAATCTTGATCCTCTTTGATCTCATGCCTTTGCATACATGACATGGCTAACCACATGCTTAACATACATGTTCGGTTATTTCCAAGGAATCATATTTGCAAGTCTTGTGCTAAAATCTTCCATCCCTTACTTGCGTAAAATCAAAATCAAAGCACGCAAATTCCTTGGAAATGACATAACATGACATGGCACTCATTCATACACCCCATGCATATTCATGCATTCATAATAGGTACCCGAAGATTGGGGATTCTTATTCAGACCTGGGGTTATCTTCAAAGATTCAACCTGATTTCTCACCGCACATGCTCAGAGATCAGTTATGGAATAACTCCGAGTGGTACATGCAAGCTTTGGCTCGTAGTCAGAAACTTCTTCAAGCAGGAAGGTAATGGATTAAAGAGTCAGATGATCTAGGTCATGGAAACTCTGATGATGATGTCTATCATTTCTTTAAGACATCAAAACAATGATTCCACATCTTCCTCCAGCTTCATCATTTCTCTGAACCGCTTCAACAACATCACCGCACTTCATCATCTTCATTGTTCTTTGTACATAGAGTAATCGCATCATCATCTTCTCTCCCCAATACTGAATTCATCTTCATTTCTCAACCTTCCATTGATTCTACAATCATCTTCATCATTATGAATCAACAAACAACAACCCAACTGAATCGCATGGAGTACACAGAGATCCGAAATTGTAGAAGAAGAAGGTAAATAATCATCACTATCATCATCAACAAATCACAACCTTCAATCAACACTACAACAACAACACCGCATCAACATCACAATAACAACGAAAAGGTAGAAGAAGAAAGAGTCACACAAAAGAAGTGTACCTAAATCAAAATCGAAGAAGCACCGTACATTGTCACTGGTAGGTAATATTGATTGCCTCAGTTTTTTTCTTCTTCAGGATTTTTGCGTGTTTTCAGAATTTGAGACGAAATCGCGAAGTGATGAAGGTGATACACGAGAGGAAAGCGGAACTGAAACGTGATGGAGATTTGAGTGAGAATTGACGGTGAAGAGATGAGATGAGACTGGACAAAGGTTGTTTGGATCAAGGTTGAGAGACGAAGAGGAGAAGTTCGGAGCAATCGTCGTTGATGGAAGTACCGTGCCACCGTTGGAAGGACGAAGAAGCTCAGACGTCACAGTTTCTAACCCTATTCCCATTTCAATTTCACTATTATTATTTTATTTTTATTTTTTGTTTTTAATAATTCTGAATATAAATAAGTAAACAAAAGTAATGCTGGAAAATTTTGAATAAAAAATGCTGAATATGAAAGATCTGGATCATTGAGTTTGTAGCGGGCCTCACATGCTGGGCCTTCCATTCACACCCCTGGCATGGTCCTCATACCTCCTGGTTTCTTCTTTATTTTCATTTTGTTGTTATAATTTTGAGTAATTAATTTTGATAATTTCTTTCATAACTTTAGGCTGAAGTTTTGTGTTGATAATAGTATATTAGTCTCTGACTTAGATATAATTTTTCATGATTTTTATGATTAGTTTTAGGATTTAATTGATTAAATGTGGGAAATGGTTATAATTGGGTTTTTTTTAGATGTTCTTGTCGATTCCTCATTCTTAATTCACTTTTCTTGGCATGATGAATGTTATAATGGCAAACTTTGATCCTTAGGTGCCGAATTAAATTATTGATAAAAGTCTCATAAAATTTGAATAAAAGAGATTTGAGTGAGGAGTTTCATGAAGTTTCAAGGCTAGCTAAGAGCATAATTTTCATCAAAGAATGAAAGGAGGCTTATGCAGAGTTTTCTTATGGCTTGCATGGTTATGAAGAAGCAACGGACCTTCTCCGTTCGGTATCGTCACAACTCTATTTTATTCCTGCACTTTACCTCTTTCTAGATATCATGAGAAGTAGGAAATAAAGAGCATGCACTCGAAGTCGCTGTTTAAAGACCTGTAGCAGGCATTCCGCACTTCATTTGCTATATGTGTTGTGCTTGTGTTTGTTTACTTTCTTGTCGATCGATGAGTCACTCAATTTAGCAATTGAGATCACGACTTCGCTCTCAGTGCATGCTCCCTATAGGACTTTATCGCTTCCTTTACTTTCTTGTTGATCGATGAGTCACTCAATTTAGCAATTGAGATCACGACTTCGCTCTCATTGCATGCTCTCTATAGGATAGTTTTTTAGACTTTTCTTAGACATGCTAACCTAGGCAGGATCTCTTTAAGTGTGTTTTTTTTCCTGGCTTGCTTGCTTTATCCTTGTACATACCATGTTCCCTTAGGATACACTTGCTCTGTTCGGACGCAAGTTAGACCTTAGGATGTAAACCATGCATGCTGACATTAGGTAGAAATTTCCCCTTTCATCCTTGACTTAGGGCGTGTGGGGTGCTAATACCTTCCCCTCGCGTAACAGACTCCCTTACCCGATCTCTCGGTCGCAAGACCGTGACTTCTCCCTTCTCAGGTTTTCTCGATGTTTACCTTTCCCTCCATGGGATAAAAGACGTTCGATGGCGACTTCATTGTTTTGATGATTTTCAGCCGGTTGTTTCAGCTGGCGACTTCACTGGGGACAGGTCAACCAAATGCTGGTCCATCCTGGAGTCGCTCCTAGCTCTTGCTTTCTTTCATTTGGGTGTTTATCTTTAAGCTTTCAGTTTATTCATTCAGTTTGTATATACTTGAGCATACGTATGCATTGCATTTTACTGTCTTCCATATACTATTGTTGTACTGGATCTGCTTCTTGTTGGGTGGGTGTTACTATGAGGTAAAAGGCCCAATACCCAGGCCAGAGTTGTATACCATAGGAACCCTAGGAATAGAGTGGAACATGAACGGATAGTTGACTTAGGTCTCACTATCGCCGCCATGTCGTCCACGCTCAGATGAGGTATAAATGAGGGGCTATCATTTTCACTTAGGTGATACGACGATAGTTTTTCAGGAGTACCCTCGATTCTGAATTACCATTGCCTTACCCTGACCTAGTTTTCACCCGTGAGCGGGGAGGGAATTCTTATTACAGGTACAAATGGTGACTATGTTAAGATGGTTACTCATGCTCGGATGGTGACTATGCTCAGACAGTGACTATTGGTTCTAATGGTTATGTTCTGGATTTCTGTTTATGACATTATGCAGATGCCATATCCCGTTGGTGACCGTATGGTTCTCAGATTTATTTTCTGAGTTCCTGACTTGTTTACCTGGAGGTTCATTCAAGCCTTCAATCTTGGTATTCCCAGCATGTTCAGAAATGCTCAACAGTATCCGATATTCCAGAAGCCTCGATCCCGTACAATGGGAGGTCCACATGGTACTTGTTTCTTATATGTGCAGAAGCTATGTCGGACCTTTGCTCTGATGACACTCACATGATTCAGAGTAATGCAACAATCATATTCAGGAATGATGGAACCTTGATCCTCTTTGATCTCATGCCTTTGCATACATAACATGGCTAACCACATGCTTAACATACATGTTCTATTATTTCCAAGGGATCATATTTGCAAGTATTGTGCTAAACTCTTCCATCCCTTACTTGTGCAAAATCAAAATCAAAGCACGCAAATTCCTTGGAAATGACAGAACATGACATGGAACTCATTCATGCACCCCATGCATTCATAGCAGGTACCCGAAGATTGGGGATTCTTATTCAGACCTGGGGTTCTCTTCAAAGGTTCAACCTGATTTCTCACTGCACATGCTCAAAGGTCAGTTATGGAATAACTCCGAGTGAAGTCGCCAGTGAAGTCGCCAGCTGAGACCGTTATGGAATCTCTCGGTCGCAAGACCGTGACTTCTCCCTTCTCAGGTTTTCTCGATGTTTACCTTTCCCTCCATGGGATAAAAGACGTTCGATGGCGACTTCATTGTTTTGATGATTTTCAGCCGGTTGTTTCAGCAGGTAATCAAGAAGGATAGTTGTTACCTCGTTAGTTTGAGTCGGTGTTGTCGCTCTGATATGTAGCACTCAGGGGGATGAACGCTTGATGTTTAGTTGTTGTTTATTATTTCAGTTGCTGAATTTTTAAGTTGATTACATGAAATAATTGTTGTCTTGAGGTTGTTTTAGTTGAATAAAAGATGTTAAGTGAATTTAAGTTGAGTATGTATATTCTGTTTCTTATCAATAAAAAGTTGTTTGATTTTGAAGAATAAATCAGATTGTTATCGGTTTATCCGAGTTAAATGTTATGTATCTGTTTGTATGCGATTAAAGGAAGATTAATTTTTAGTTGAAAATGTAGCATCCTATTTATGTTGAACTCTGATTTTCTTATTATCAGCCGGGTAGAAATGGGGTGTTACACTAACGTGATGTGTGGTTAAGCTCAAAAATTCAGTTGATGAAGTTGTTAAAGTGAGGGTTTCAAAAGTTGAAGGCGATGGTCTTTGCATGTTCTGGAGCAAGAGTTCAAATCCGTTCAACCAGAACGCGTCACACTGACTATCCGTTGGACATTTTGTTTTATTTTAATTTTTATTTCACTTTCTTTTAAAATTAATAAAATTAGATCCCTTAACCTTTTTCACTCCATTTTTTCTATAATTCTCTAAAAAATATTTTTCTACATCTTCTGATTTTTCCAGATTTTTTAAATGTTTTTTTAGCACTTTGCTATTTTATTTTGTTTTGTTTTTTTAATTGATTTTAACAATTTATTTCTCCATCATTTTTAAACTTTCTAGATCCAATCTTTTGTGGTCTTGATCCTTGGGATTTTATTGATCTTCTATAGTTTTCTTGAATATTTATTTGAGGTTTTGATGCTTCATTTGAATTTTCCTTTTATTTTCCATTTAAAATCATTTAAAAAATATTTTAATGCATTTTCTTTGATTATTTTGTCATTTAATATTGGTTTGACTTTTGTTGACTTGAGTCATGACTTAATTGATCTAATGCTTCATCAATATTAATGAACTTTCGGTGATATTTTGTTTGCATGAATCTTCATCAATTCAAACATATCCTTAAATGATCATTTGGATCATTTTTGATACTTTGAATTGATGATAGGTTTATCACATTGATGAACTAAAAGAGTGTAAGAACAAGATTTGGTTCTGCAATATTATCTATGAATTTTGATGATAACAAATGAATATATTTATATGAATAATATTGATACTCTAATGTTTGAATTATTGAGTATTTAACAAACATGTTCTGCTTCTGATGGATGGTGTGTCCAAGATATTAGAAGAGAATTAATTCTGCTTCTACGCTATACAAGTTTTGTTAAACAATAGCAAGACACTCCAGAAGACTCTGAAGTGTAAGCTTTGATGTTTGTCTAAAGAAACCAGTAAGAAGATTTGAAGACAAAAGTTTCTACTTACATCTAGATGCTAAAGACTAAAGCTTCTAAAAACAACGTGTTCTAAGGAAACAGTTAGAAGATCTGAAGGCAACGTTTCTACTGAAGTCCAGATGCTGAAAACTTAGTTTCTAAAAGATAACTTGTTTCAAATAAGACAAAGTTAGAATATCTGAAGACAACATTTCTACTGAAGTCCAAATGTTGAAGACTTGTGTTTCTAATAACAAGGTTCTTAAAAGAACCAAGTGCTAAAGTTTCTAAAGACAGAAGTTATGAAGATTCCAAAGACTTGAATTTCTAAAGATTTAAGGTTCTCTGCAACCAGTTCTCAAGACCAAGTGTTAAAGACTCTAAAGACGCAACTCTTAAGACTCTGAAGAGTTGAAGCTCTTCTGATCCAAGGTTCTCTACAATAGGGTTCTCACGACCAAGTGCTGAAGACTCTGAAGACTCTGAAAACTTGAAGTTCTAAAGACCTTATGTTATGTTCCCGCTTCTAAAATCATGCTCGCAGAAGCCTTTGAAGTACATAAAGAAATAATATAACGGTAACTTGGAACAATAGTACACAATACGAAAAAGCCTTATTCCACTACCTCTCCACTAGCTTGAATTATGGAAGAGAAAAGGACGTGGCATTAATATTTGTAACGACTCTTTTTCAAATATCCAGAGGCTCTATTTTGCTTGGCTATATAAGAAAAGAATTGTATGTTTAAAAAGGTTGGTGTTCAATATTAGAAATAAAAGTTGTCATTATTGGAACACAACCAAAAAGCTATCAACCACTATAACAACAACAAGAACAACTGTTACCAAAATGATTCTTCAATCATGTTGATAATT